CGTAATAATAATTAATTATTATCTTTCTGAAATAAATATTTTTAATATGAAAAAATATTTAATTTGATTTTAAGTTGAAGAACTGTTTTCTATAAAAAATGTATATTTATTTCTCGATTCGAAATACATATCATATTTTCACTATTGAATTTATTTATTATATAAAATATATATAAAATAACTCGAATATTTACAGATAATAAATTTATATTATATTTATAATATATTATATTTTTTAATTTAATTAAAGAACATAATTAAAACAAAATAAATAAAAAATAAAAGTAAAAATATTTAAATATTTTTTATTTTCTGCATATTTTTACATGATGATTCCATATTCAAAATAATTGTAAGGAAATTTTATTTAATAAAATTTATATAATTCTACTGGAATTACCAATTTTGTCAAAAAAAGTATCAGATTTTTGTTTTGAATTACTTTAACATGGACAATTAATTATATTTATATAGATATTTATTTATATTAAGAATAATTATAATATACTTGAATTATTTGTATATAATTTATTATATATATTTATTAATTATTGTATATATTTAGATAGTTTTACTGTTAGAAATGGATTCTTATTTATTCAATAATGTTATTTAAAAATATAAATAATAATGATTAATTTAAATTAATAATAATTTCTTAATCTGAAATAATTTTAATAATTAAATATATGTATATATATATTTATAGCATAAATATTACAATATTATATTATTGTTGACCAATAAATTGGATTCTAATAATATTGTTTTTATTAAAATTACACACACTTTCATTATTTGAAATAATATTTTATTTACAATTATTTTACATATTTGTTTCAAATATATTTATAAAACAAATAACTAAAGATAAATATGCTCAAGTTTGATAAATAAAATAAGAAAAAAAAAGTAGAAAGGTGAAGAAAAAGAAAAAAGGAACTCGTATTTACATACGAGTATTTACATTCGACATATATCAACTTAAAGCCTTGGTTCGATCTGCCATGATGATAGGAGATAGAGTGCGCGAGGTCAGACCGAAGAACCGTTTTAAATAGGTCATTGATTGACCTATCCTCAGCCATGTATCCCACTGTACAATGCATGTATACCAACTACTACAACTGATACATTTGTCTCTACATATTTCTACTTTTCCTTCTTCCTCCACATGTTATATCTGCTGTCTCGTATCTATATGTGTCTGTTTGTGCGCGAAATTGCAGGGTGTGCAGCACGCACGTGGTCGGCAGGCAAAGTTTAGTCAGCTAGTATCCGAGCAACAAGCGTCGCTAGAAAGATTCCCATTGTGTTCGCGGACAATGGATGGCTGGAACTACTGCGAATGCGGGCCAAACATTTCGCAATTCTCTGCCGCTTTTATCCCTTCTTCGTTTGCCCGTAGAAATTGAACAAACGTTCCCTTGTACCATTCCCTATATTTGTTCCTTCTACTTCTTCTTTCAACGAATGCTTACATACCGGACAGTGTGGATTTCTTCTGATTCTGCCTACTACTTGCGATGGTCACTTCCTTCCTTTTTACTTTTCACCGGAAGCGTGCTTGTTTTCTTCGAATGCCTCGAAACAGGATATATCTCTT